AAGCGTTCTGGCACAAGGCCACGTCTCTAGACGCAGTTTTTCTAGTACGCCATCTTGTCAGACGTAACTTTCTCCATTGGCACCCAGAGCTGTATTCCATGAGTATTATCCCCTTACCTGTCTTTCCGTCGTGTTCGCCCTCAAAGAATAGGCTAAAAATATTCTAAAGTAGTTCTTTGTGAAGTAAGCTGCTTTGGATCATGACGAAGTCGTTGCCACTGGGGACGTGGAAAGTCGGGGTTAGGCACCGACCATCTTTAACTTATTTCTCCGGTGGCGGTATTTAATATCCACCGAGTTCCCATGGTAGTGCCGCATCACGGGTGTGCTAAGAACCCAGACCCCGGCGGCAGTCATAATAGTTGGAGGGTCTGACGGCTTTTGGGATTCGTGTGCACTTCAGTTCCACCTCTGCTGTATACCTGCACACAGCGCTCGAGTGTACGTGAGAATAGAGGAGCTTCGAGGTTTTGCCGGCATCCTGTGAACGCCGACACTTGACATATGTGAAAATCGCTCTAAACAGGCACTCTGACTCCAGCTGTCAACAGGCTCCGTCGCTGTCGTATTATATTATTTGCATTTCTGAAGTCCGTTTTCAGGGTCGAGCGACGCCCCCTTGTACCCTGGTCCGGATGACTCAGTTTTTACCCTACTTGGGTGTGGATGAGCCGACTCTGGAGATCCATCCGCCGGCCAACTTACTGTTTGTTTCGGACATTACCTGAATTGCCCATTTGATTTCGGCTCGTCTTTTGTTGCTTGGAAAAGACTGCCAAACATGTCGTCTGCTGCGGACTTTCGCGGCCACAACCGCCTCTTTTTAACAAACTCGGAACTCTCACAAGTTGGTTGTACGTGTGCACCTTCCAATATTACTAGAATATTGCCCCCCGAAATGAGAAATCTGGAATCCGGGCTTGGTAAGAGTATTTACTAATGCAGTGCACGCCCGCGATCGACGCGGGCTGAAACACGAGTGCAAAGCAGTGGATTGTCTCAGAATCCAGTTTAGGCGCATAACTGCCGATGTGTCTGATCGAAGGACCGGTGTGACCTCGAAGTGGCATATTATTGGGGGTGCTCCGTAACATTATTTCCCTCGAGCCAAATGTAGATGTGATACGGTGCCGGAGGGCCAGATTACGGTTAAGAAAAGTGGCACAGACTGGAGGGTAGGCGTAACTGTTCGTGTTGTGCGGTCGGGGGATAGTGAACGCTAAGAAGTGGGTGGGAACCATGAGGCCCCTCAGCAACCGTGAGTCGGTCTACACAGATGACCTTTTTCTCTGTTAGTGTAGTGCTCGCCGTCTGCTTCTTTTCTAAAGCAACACGAGAACTGAGGGGAGGGTTCTAATGGATTGGTGGATACGGCGCTGTGAGTCCACGCAACCACCCTCGGTGCCGCGAAAAGTTAGTGGCGACTCCGACCCGCTGACCGGACAGTGTCCAGGTTCAGCGGTTTGGGTTCGGCTCCAGTAGAGGACGAACGTCAAGTAGGGTCGGCGAAATGGCAGATAAAGTACTCTGTGTTTTGCATGGTGGACAGGAAGACTACTAGCTGGTGACGAGTATGCCTAACGGATCCATTGGGAGGTGACGTACGGGGACAGTCTAGACAGGATAAGTTGGCGGCACCAGTGTCGATTTCGGTGATGGCGGCGGTGGTGGGTGCACTGGGCGGCGGGGTGTGGATTGGACCATGCAGGGCCGACGTGCAAAGTGTGCTAGGTGTGTCGAGACTGCGGTGAATTCCGTTGTCATGGATATGCATGTGAACTAGTAGGCCTATGCGGTGAGTGGATGTTCTGGGGCAGTGCGGAAGGTGGAGGCGGAAGTGGTGAGTGCTCCAGGCACTGGCTCGCCAGTCTCTGTGCGCGAACTTGCAAGTGACTGACCAGGCCGATGTGCGGGGTGAATGTGCGGTCGCAATAAGAGTAGTTATCGACCGAGTCCACGTCGCTGGCGTTGACGGTGCTGACGTTGATGCTTTTCGGTGGGTCTGGGTTGTATGCAGTGGTGGTGGGTACGGGAGCCGTTGCAGCGGATGTTGGGGCGATGGTGGATGGCGTTGGGGATCTAGGAGGGCGTTCAGTGCTGATTGTCTGCAAAGGGAAAAGACAGAGGTGTAAGGGGGGACGCCGGGTGGTGTCGCTCGGATGCTGCAGTTGGTTTGAAGATGTCTAATAAGGCCAACTGGTACCCGGAACGTTAGTTAACATCGTGGGCAGGTTGCGGACAGTTGAGCGTTAACATTGCGAGGTGGGGACGATTACGATTTGCAAGTTCGCGTTTGGTCGTGACGGCGGTGACGCTTCGTAGATTTCTACGTCTCCTGTGGGGCTGTAGAGGTGGCGATCCAGTGGTCCGTGGGACTTTCGGCCGCATAGCAGGTGAGCAGGATAGAGTAGAGAGGCTGATGGGCGGAGAATGGATGGGAAGGAGTAGAAAGGGGCCGGTCATCCAGCCATTGGATCAGTAGCTTGCTGATTGATTGTGGCCTCCTGTGGGGCAGCAGACGAAGCCTCAACTCGGAGATGCCGACGCGGTGATCTATTCAGCCAGCGGTGGTGGGAGGGGAGCCGAGTTACCGCGTCTGAAGATGCACACACGGGCATCTTCACCTGGCTTAGCCTGCCGGTCGAGGCGGTTACCGGGGTGTGGCCGCCGGGCAGAGCCTAGTTTCGGGAAGCCAAATCTGAGAATTGGGTGCCAGTTAATGAACTCTAGGCGTGGTCTATACCTGCACTCAAGTGAGCGACCTATTGCGACCATTACGTGGACCAACAACTGGACACCTAGACACCCCGGTTAAACAAGTGGTACTCATGTATTAGCATCAGGATTTCTTACAGATCACCCCGAGGCCTGCTCGCTGACTAACCTTAAGAGCTTCAATGATAGCCCTCGTCGAGTGAGGCGTGTACATGCTTGTGTTGGTTTTCCACCGTCCTTCCAACAGCTTGCCCATAGTCAGAAAAGTGGCCAATCTGTTGTTTTATTGTCGAAATCATAGCCTTCTTGGCCCTTGTGGTCGCTCTGTGAGGATCTGAGAAGGATGATTTCTTAACTTTAGATTTGGGGAATCTCGGACTGATGCGCTGGAGGAGTCGCGACTTCGACACATTCGATGTAGATTCCCATAAGATGATACGTGTTTCGAGTGCATAAATGGTCAGTAATTTTAATGTCGTCACCTTCTCTGACAGTTAAAGTTCACGTCGTATCTTGCGTCCTTAAGAATAACTGGAGCGGGCAGAGTTTTTCCAGTTCAGTCTTGCCCAGCGGGCATCGACAAACCATGCTCGTGACTAGCATAGACCCGGGTGTTGGTAAGTAGTCAGCAGGGTGCCAAAACATCTGACCAGACGACGTCAGCTTTTGTGCATTGCTCAACTGTGTTGGAAACAGTTATGTGTATTCTTCCACTAGGATCCATTAAGGTTTTGCTAAATGATGTACGGCCTGCTTAGCAATACTGTGTGTCGATAATGACTAGACCAGAGCGTGAAATTACTGATGCGGTTGAAGAGTATTTCACCGTATCGATCACGGATTTATATGCTTCGCAGAAAATTAGAAAGTTCACAAGGTTGGACGCGGCTTCAGGAGTAGTTGTACATAGGTCATCAGAGTTTAGTCCTCAAAACACAAACTGCAACAGCCAGAGCGCAGATACCTGTGTATAGAAGTAACTGAAAATGATTTGAAAAGTACGGCGAAAGTAGCAGGAAGCTGTATTGGTTGGCCGTGCCTTTCAACTGTCCGCCGTCAGCTGCGTTCCCTCGCGGTTGGAATTAAATTCGATTTTAACATATGCTAGTCGGCAAGAAAGAATCAAGTCTGAGGTTAACGGCATAGGCGTGCTCCACTCTTCCGACCGTAAGGGCTTAGAATGCTTTCTGACAGCAATTGACAACAACCTAGCTTTTCTAAAGCCTCTGATGTGCTTGTCCACACTGCACTTTGTTGGTCACGCCTGCGTCTATTAGTCCTCTGCGTAGGGGCCAGAAACCGAGACTTCAGAGGCTTATCAGCACAGAGAGAGTGGGAGTATCCAAGTAAGTTGTTTTCGTCATACGGTACAAGCCAAAATTTTGCCTCCAAAATGTTACTTCGAACTACTGTGGCAACGTTCGTTGCACCTTCCATCCTAAAGTCACCAGGTTTCAATGACAAACAAAGCTCAAGTAGGGCGAAATAATTAATCCAATACAGAGCTCTGCCCTGCGCGCGCCACGCACTAACTGGTCGCATTGTCCACACGAAACAATTATCAATTATAAAGGTCTCGTCCTGGCTCATGTTGCCGTAAGATTACGCAAGGTAGACGCCATGACAACCGATGACCTACCACGTCAATAACAAACACTGGGGACAAGATTGCGGCAGTGAAAGAAACAGCCGCGAGAGCTGGTGACAGCGCGACTGACGAGCTTTTGAATAATGGTTCTCCAGTCAAAAATCTATCAGCAACCACAATGACCTCCCCTCTCCGTCCAGGCATGACAATCGGCTATGTGGATATTACTAGTTCATACAAATATAAACACTACTTATTTACCCAGAAGCGTGACACACAGCCCTGCATTTAGCCCGAGCCATCGCTAATCGCAGGCTGGGTAGGCGGTCAGCCATAGACTGAGGGGCACTACCCATATTCATACAAACTCCGTACAAGTGTGAGTGTGCTAGATGTCACGTTAAAAAGCCGTGGCAGCCTGACCCTCAGTCCATCAGTGGGCCACTCCACACAAACACATCTGGGCAGACTGTGTGGAGGCAGTTGAAGCATCATTTGGCAGACTACCTAGCAACGGAGCTTGGGACACTATGACAGTCTCAGATCACACATGCAGCAGAGGAGCCACATGGAGAAGCAGCCAAGGTGAACACTTCCCACTCGCGTGGGGGGTGGCAATACAGTCTTTGCATTGCGTAGTGATGCTGCTATGTGGTGTTGGTGCGCATGCGACCTCATAGACCCATGCGGTGAGTGGATGTGCGGTGACAGTAGATATGCACGCAAAACAGGAGGTCAGTTGCAGACAGGACGTGTACTGAGAACGGGAGACAGCACAAGTCGGGGAGTCTTGCAGAAACGGCTGTGTGTATGGCAGGGGGGAGAACATGGTAGGCCGAAGGGTGGCCAATCAGCACAAGAGTGACCTGAACAACGGTATATGACCTTGAGTGCATGCTTTTCTCACGCATGCGGCGCGATGTTTAGGCAGTCCGGGCAGCATACACTACATGCCTCCATCCCAAATTGCACAGCATAGGGAAGGGTGAGGAAACGGTAAAAGCAACAATGCATCTGATGGTGAAACGGCTCGCGGCGATAGCCAGCTGACAGATAAGCAGGCGTGGCTGGGCGCCTCCCTGGCAGATAGGCCGCTGGCTATAACAGCATAGTAATGCGAATATCGCCCATCCAAGGCTTCGCCCGCACCCGACACAGCTGAATGAGGTGGATGAAGACGTACACCTTTGAATCCAGGAGCCTATCTCTCTACCAGCAGCGGTTTGAAGGGCAACACAGGTGATCAGAAATCTACGTTCTGTCCACTCTTTTTAGGCTCACTGATAGTCAACTGCGACAAGGGACAATCTACACAACAAAAACCCTTGGTCAACATCCATCTGGCGTCAACGCAGCGGGGCTCCACTACGATCTTTGGGATCGAGCAAAGAAACACTGGGACCAAAATATGCAGTTTGGAAGAACTCTGTCAGTCAAACAGGAGTAAAAAGGCCAAGCCGGGTTAAAGTCATTCTTAAGGAGAAGGGCAGGGAAGACAAAACTCTCAGGAAAAAACATTAGACGTTGTCCCCGAAAAGTAAAAGTGCACATGATCGTATCGAAAGAGCAGATACAAATTAATATTAAAGTGGGATAAAATTGCCGATGAATAGGTGAAAACAGAAGACAAAGTCGACGAACTAGATAAGAACGAACTGCTCGGGGCGAATACATTCCGTAAGAATGAGGGACGGGAGGGGAGTTCGACAAACAGAAAGGGAAAAAGCTCAAATCGAAGGTTTGCAGGCCACAGTTGACTAGAATCAGCGGCGAAGGTCAAATGACTGAAGCAGATCTCATACGCCGTCCACTTAAACATAGCCCATTTATAAAAAGTCAGTTATTGCGCGCGCTGACCGGCGCGTTCACGCATTTTGTCGAGCAAAGGCAATAACATGTCGAACCGCGGTCTCTTGCCTGGATCCTCGTTCATGCAGAGATCAAGAAGACGCACAATGCGAGAGTCCATATCGGGGAATCTTGGCAGGCGTAAGCCCTCAGCAGCCACCTGGGAATAAGAATAGGAAGGAACAAGGGTACAGATTATAGACCGAGGGACGTTTAAGTAGGATCAAGGTACCCAAACTTTCTCCTTTCAAGAGTTTTTTGAGTTTCTGGTGGTGTGCAGCTAACTCCACGAAGGCAGTCGTCGACAGCGACCACGTGGGTTTATTAGTATGCGAAACGCTTGTCTGAAAGATTACCCAGACAAGAAGCTCGTTTCATCTGCCTCCCCCCCCCCCCACCCACCATACGCAGCATTAACCTTGGATTCTCAATTAAAGGCAGGTGCCCGGCAACGACTGTAGTTCTAAGGTAGGTTATGATTGATGGGACTTTTTACCGAGCCCACGACGCTTAACTGACCCTCACAACTCCACTTCTGGAAGTGTTTGCCTACTTGATGTCTACTAGCGACAGCAGTGGCTTTTTCGTCTAAAAACAACGCTGCTTTCTACTAACACACACCACTTCGCAGTCCGCCAGAACTCTTCTGCTGAACGCGCACAAACGCCTCGAAATCCACCAAAGCAATGGCCTTTGTCCGATAATAGCCACTGACAGTAGCTGAAGTTCAAGTCCTAGACTACATACAACGGTTTAAGTTGTGTGGGGGAGATGGAGAGCTACCACTAATCGTTGATGTTCCGATTACAATGCAATGGTTGGTAGAGAGGCAATAACCCACGGGCAAATATCAGAAGCTCTTATCACAGGGTGAAAAAGTGCCGATATAGGCGGTCAAAAGCGCTCCCAAGACACCTAAATACAGTCAAATAAGGCGATCTGAATGAGGAAAAAAAGAACAGGTGGCATCGAAGATACCATTTGAAGTAAGCTCGCAGTCGATCTCGAGACGTTTACGTGGTTGTGGATTGTTACCCTATCCATCGCATCCCTGATCCCGGGGTTAAACCTAGGAGGGATGATATCTAATCCCCAGGTGGAAAAAGTGGAGGGTACGAATCAACTGTCAAACACCACAGCTGGCGGTGCCCATTCATGAAAAGGCGCTATAGAGGAGAGAAAGCTGGTGAAAAAGGGCGACATGGTCTACTGCTTGACTTATAGTAAGAAACTGCTGGATTTAATAAGATCCTGCTCACGGTAGAGCGGCAATCAAACGTCCGAAGGTGATCAGGGACGTAGCAGAGCTTTCGGAAAACAGAAGGATATGGAACGAAAGCTGACGTACCTGCATACCAATAACCATCGGTTCAACACCACCAAAAGGTTCAAGACGAGTCATCAGCTCCCAGAGAATCACACCAAAACTCCACATATCTGACGCTTGCAAATTGATGTCACCAGGTTTCTTTTGAAGTGCTAAAGACGAAAACAAAAATTCAAAGCATATGAATGGTGAAAAACCAGCGCGTTTATAGTAAGTACGCCGCTAGCCGGAAATGCCCCCCGCCCATCTAAGGCACGTATTAAACCCTTAGTAGCGTCTAAGCAGGTACCGCCGATCTCAGGCATTAATTTCCGTTGTTGGTCATTTTCTTCGGCCAGGATAGTTCAGCTTAATTTGGCAAATGCAAAGAGAATGAACGCTTAGTTTCATCGCGGAAGCCTAATAAATCGTTACTGTTAGCATATCGTGGGGTTATGTCCTAAAAAGACAA